CTAGCCTATCAATAGGTCCTACATTTTCGAACGATTTTCCTTTTTGAGGAATGAACTCTGACTTATTGTGGCTCTGCAGGTTTTTTGTAGAGGAAGCAAATACATAAGATTTTCTGCTTAATGTCTCATTCGTCAGTTTTGTGTGATTCTCGCGACGAACAAGAAATGTTCCAGTTTTTGGCGAAGTGGCTGGTATATCCTTATCCTGAAAAAGCCTGGTGTTATGCCATTTATACGTTTTATGTGGCAAGAGGAACAGGAGTTGCTTGAGCGATACGCCTGCGGGTTTTATAGTTCAGTGTATTTTGACAGTAGATGTGTACTTGCGCTGCAAACACCACTTGCGCGTAGAAAACGGCCGTTGAGTCTATCTACACTTCCAGTTAAACTTACAGCCGTGACAGCATCCTTCTAACATTCAACTATGATCTCAATTATGATCTTGAAATCTCATAGCTATCGCTGCCTGTTTTCAGCTACTAAAACTTTTACTTCAAAAGTCTCTCTCACTCACATCCGTTTAGGTACCAAATGGCATCGATGTTTGATGACATCCTGAGCAGAGCCGAAAAATTGTCATCCGCGAATTTCCATGCTACTTTAGCTGATCCATCAACAACTAAAAAGAATAATAATGCTCTTTTCGAAGGGAACGCAAGCCAGGTATACATGTTTGTATACTTTTTGACTTGCACTTAATCGTTCAAATTTCTTCTAGGAAAATCGCTATAGTGGCACAGCCTTTGACACCGATCTCAACAGTGTTTTTCGAGCAAGTGAACATTTGTGGAAGACGGGGGCATCAGCTCCAATTCAGGTATTTGGTGCTTCTGTCGTGTATGCATTCAAGCTTTTTTCAATCTTTTCTGCTTTAGAAAAGCTTTATCTTTGGCGAAAAAGGTGTTGTGTTTGGAGTGAAGGCGCCTACACTAAAGGAAGCTCGTGTCGTTCCTAAACCTGCTGAAGATCAGGAGGTAACTTGCATTTCAGAATTGTCTCATTATGCATTTTTCTATTATTCAGACAGACGAAGACTTGGAACGTGTCAGACTGGAGTCCGACCGGGCCTTCTTCAACCACGTGCTTCTTTCAAGGCCTCAACCGAGCGCAGCACTTCCAGTCAAACAGCTTTCTAAAGTAATTTTTGCGCGATTTACGATTTTTTCAGTCTCGTTTTGCTCTTTTTTTT